GCTGTTTGTCAGGTCTCTCCCGCCTTTTAGGGTGTTGTTCACGGTGGCGTCCAGAGGTTTACCCTTGGCCCTCGTGTTCCCAGAAGCCCCTGGCCGGCCGTGGCGGTGGGACGGGGCTTTGGACGTGGGTTCATGGCAGCAGCGGAACCTGATCCCTCCTGGTGCGGCCTCGGGCCGGGCTTGTGTGTGCGGGGCTGCGGGGCTGGACTGCGGGGCTGCCCGGTGCACGCCGTCTCGGGGCCGCTGCCAGACCTGTCCTGTCCCCGCTGGCTCCACTGCGACCCTCTGCTGGTTTTCACAGGGCGGCCTCGCAACCACTTTATCCAGTCTGCTGCCCCTGAAGCCAGAGCCCACGGGGCAAGGCGATGCTGGGGGTCAGGCGTCACGCACCAGATGCCGCGCCGGAGGTCCCGCTCCGTGAGTCAGCGCCAGCCACGCTCCGCGGGGCCCAGCGTGCCCGGGCCCTTCAGCCAAGGACCCACAGCCCCCGGGCTGGACGGGGCTGTGAGCATGTGGGCCCCGCCCCTCGGCCACGAGCGACTCCGGTACCCTGCACTTGGGGACACTGCTCGTTGCCATGGAGAGAAGGGATCCTGTCTCCCTGATCTCTGCACATGCTCCCTCACACGCGCCTGCCGATTAGATGAATGCCGTGTGTTCTCCTGCCTGCTCGGGTCTTGCTTCCAGTCCCTCCCTCTGGTTCAGAGTTCTGCTTGTCCTCGCAGACCCAGGGCGAAGGCCCCCGCGGGGCGTTCCGAGCCCCCCGGCCCCGGCCCCCCCTGGCCCTCCACTGTCCCCTGCCAGACCCCCACGGGACCGTGGGTCCTCTTGACCGGTTCCTCCCCCGTCCTGGCTTGTCACGTCCTGTCGAGGCAGAGGCTGTTTCCTTTCTCGGTGTTCAGTGTGCTGGCGTGACGGGGGCTAGCGAGACGCCCCGGGTTTCAGGCGGGCGTCCCCGCGGTCCGAGAGCGGCGTGAGGCGCCGCGCGGCGCTGTGCGCCCGCCGCGCAGGGGTGTCCTCCCGACGTCTGCATGTGGGCCGTGAGGACGCCTCTCGCCTCAGTGGCCCTCTGTCCGTGGGCCTCGAGATTCTGGAACAAAATTCCGACCCCGTTGTGAGTCGTGATTACAAATTCCCAAATTCACTTTGTGCTTTGTGAGTGCAAAATCCACTTTAAAAACAAGTCCAGTGGAAAAGAAATAGAGCCATTGTGGGAAAAGACAGAAAATGCTTACGACCCAGACAAAGTAACTTGAGAGACCTGTCCTCACAGCGGCCGGAGGGAACCACCCCAACCCTCTGCCCGCTGTCCGTCGCTGGTGCACCTGCATTCCCGCACCCGCGGTCTCACACCTGCATTCCCGCACCTGCGGTCTCGCACCTGCGGTCTCGCACCCGAGACACTGCAGCCCCACCTTGTTTGCTCTCGGCGGTCGGTCCTGCGAAATCTTGCTGTTACTGAAACGACTCGTGGGGAAGTCGGCAGACATGGGCGGGGAGGGGTGGGAACGGACGTGTGTGCAGGCACCCGCAAGGGCCCGGGGCCTCACTGGCCCTCGGCTACTGCACCCGTCTTGTGCTCGGATCCTTAACCGGCGCTGGTGTTTGAAAGAAGGAACCTCGGGGGACTGCGAACTGGAGAGACGTACTCTCCAGCGACCATGGGTCTGGACACACAGAAAAAGTCGAACAAAAACGACAACAGCTCCTGAGGATTTTGAGCGCTAAACTCGGCACGTGCTTTGGAGCCCGTGCTTGCTGTTCCGAGAGAGGAAAGTCATTAAAGGCTGATGTGCACCGGCCGCTTCCCGCTGGGCCCCGCGCCAGGCACTGTCCTCGGAAGTGCTTGCGGGTAAGCGCTCACGATAGAGCCATTAGCTTTGCGCAGGCACCGGAATCCCTAGGACGCGGCCGTGGACGCGGAGGCTTAGGTGGGCGGGAAAAGCCAGCCGGGGCCCAGTGGCCAGCGGCTGTTCCTGCCCCAGCGGCCCCCCGCCAGTCTGGCGACACCATTTCAGTGTGCCGCGTCTCCATGAGACTTGCTGTCACCAGCAGCCTGTGCCAGTGACCGCCCTCCCTCTGGCACGTCCGTCCGGAACTGCACTGGCCGCACTCGCGTGGCTGAAATCCCCCCTTTCCCTCCTGGGGCAATGGCTAAGTCACCCACACTGAGCGGACACCGTTTTCCTCGGTGGTCCTCCGGGCTCCCCCAGGTTTTCAGCGGCGGCCCCCACCCCTCCCCCACTGCTCCATGGGTGCGCAGCCTGTCGCCGGCCTGGCCTGAGTCAGCAGGCTGCGCCTGAACGGTGGGTCGCATGGCTGAGCCCCTCAGTGTCTGTGACGAATCCACTCCCCGGTGGACACGGGGGGCCCAGCACACGTGCGCTCTTTCCAGTCAACCACAGACACTCCCTCCTTTAGCCCAGCCCGGGGCTCTGTCCTACTGGGCCCCTGTCTGAGGGCCGCTGCCGCCCCGAGCCAGGGCCGGGCTGCATGAGACTCGATGGTTCAGCGTCGCCAGAGAGCAGGGCGCCTGCATTTTCTGCTGCCGGCTCTGTGCACGGGTCCAGTTCTAGCACTGCAGACTTGACCCAGACCCCCGCCGGCATCCCGTTCCCCACGGTGAGCGGCCAGGGATGCTGGCCGGGGATGCTGGCCGCTCCTGAATACGCCCCGCCCTGTGCGCTCTGACACGTGCTGTGTCAAAACGGGGTGCTGCGTGCCCCCCAGAGCCCAGTGCCAGGACAGGGCTGGTCTCCCCTGACATGTCGTTTGCTGCCTCTCCTGACAGGCCAGCAGGATGGCGGAGCTCCTTGAGATTGTTCCTTGGGCCCCTCGTTGTCGGGAAACTGGTAGCCTCCTGTGGCCCGGGTCTACGGCCTGGACGCCTGCCCGGCTGCCTGAGTTGGCGGCCTCAGGCCCCCAGTGGCTCCCACTGGCCCCCTGCTTTGCTCCGTCCCGCCAGGCCAACACCCCGCTGCCTTGGAATGAAAACAGCGTGGGCGCAGCGTCTTCATTACGACGCTGGCTGCCTGGGGCCCAGAGAAGCACGCTGCTCACGGGGCTCTGCCGTGCGACGGGCGCTGAGTGGTCTTGGCGATATTCTGTCTCCCTCTCCATGTATGGGACAAGGACGCGGAGGGCCCTGCCGAGACCGCCCTCGTGAAAGTGAACCAAAGTGACGCCTGAGAGCGCGGTTCCCAGGCATCGCTGTTGCGCTCTCTTCCTTGGTGACAGGCTTGGGGTGAAAGGTACCCAGAGCATGAACTGGCCCCCCCACCGTGTCCTGGGGCGTGGCGGTGCAGCAGTGACCGCACGCTCGCGGGTCAGCGGAGCTCTCTGGCCCCCCAGCCCGAGGCTCTGCGCCCGTCCGAGAACTGCCCCCCCCCCCGACAACTGCCCCCCCCCACGCCCTGCTCCCTGCCATCCCGGTGCGGCCCGTGGGCCCGGCCTGGCTTGCCTGTCTAGAGCCCCCTGTTCAGTGTACGGATGTGGCCCGTCCCCCGGGCTCTGGGCTGTGGACACTGTGTGCACCTGCCTCTCCGACAAGGCCAGGGGTCGGCAAACCCGTCCTGCGAGGGGTCGGGCAGCCCCGTCTGCTGCTCCGGGGGCCGCCCTGTCTCAGCCCCGGAGTCCCGCCTCTGCGCTGGCGCGGGAAGCAGCCGCAGACACGCAGGGGACAAACAGCCGTGGTGGGTCCTGTCCAGCTTCCCTTTCTACAGACCCGGACACTTGAGTTTCATGCAGCTGCTGCATGTCATGAGATGCCGTCTCTTTAGGATTATTTTTCAACCATTCGGAAATGTAAAAGCCACTGTTTGCTCACGGGACATATGGAAACAAGCAGTGGGCCGTCCCTGGCCAGGCCGTGGTTTGCTGGGCCCTGACGGAGGGCTGCCTGGAGGAGGCGCCGTGTGCTCCGCGTCCCTGGGTGCAGGGGCCGGACCCTCGGGAGGCGGCCCACCTCCTCCCAGTGCGCGTGGACCGTCAGAGACCACCGCTCGCTCCTTAGGGCAGGGCTGCCGTGTGAAGCCGCCCTCTCCTCCAGGGACAGGGCTGTCCCTGCAGAAAGATCCCGAGAAACCCACCCCTCCACACACACACACGCACACACACACACACACAACCAAACCTCTAAAACGAATAAGGGAATTCAGCCACTTTGTAGGCTGCCAGATCAACGTGCAACATAAATCACATTTCCACACACTAGCAATGAATACATGGACCTCAACATTAGAAACTCAACACCATGCACCAACGCTTTAAAAAAGAAAAAAGAGCCACTTAAGTGCAAATCTAACGAAACACCCAGGGCGTGTAGGCTGGGAACTGTAAGATGCTTCACTGAGTGGAAAAAAGAAACCATCCAAAGGTTACCCCCTGTGTGGTTGGGAGTCCACAACCTGTCAAAACTGGAGTTGGGGGACAGGTGAGTGGCTGGGAAGGGGCGGGGCGGCGGGGGACGGGGCTTCCCCGTGACAGAGGAGATTCAATCCCCGTTTTGGTGGTGGTCCCGCGAATCCTCACTCGGGATGAAGTCACCCAGGCGCCCACACAGCACCTGGGCCCAAGTCCGGGGTTGTGCTGCCCCACAGTTAACTCAGGTGGAATCAGTGGGAGACAGTAGGTGGGGGACCCGCGGGACCTCTCTGTGTTAGGACTATGTTTTAAACAACTGAGACAGACGTGGCCTGCATTGTTTCCTAAGAGGAGAAACCCAGAGGCGGTGGAAAACGCCAGGACGCAGCTCTGCACATCCCAGGACTCGGAGGAGGGAGGCGCAGCGGCCCGAGGGGAGGGGGAGCCGGCGGGAGCCGGTGTCTATGCAGGGGGCGCCGCGCTCCCCTCGCTCCCCTCGCAGGCGCCCGGACGCGGGGGCGGCGCCCCTCCCAGAGGAGGGGAAGGGCGGAGCAGCAGCACTTTTCCGGGCCGCCCCGCCCCTCCCCGCACCTGCTGGTGCCCGGCGGAGCCTGGGCTGTCCAGGCATCAGACGCGCGATGCAGTCGCTCAACATCACCCCGGAGCTGCTGTCCCGGCTGCTGCGGGACCACAACCTGACCCGCGAGCGCTTCATCGCGCAGTATGGGCTGCGGCCGCTGGTGTCCGCCCCCGAGCTGCCGGCGCGCGCCAAGGTGGCCCTGGCGCTGGCCGGCGGGCTGCTGTTCGCGCTGGCGCTCTTCGGCAACGCGCTGGTGGTCTACGTGGTGGCCCGCAGCAAGGCCATGCGCACCGCCACCAACATCTTCATCTGCTCGCTGGCCGTCAGCGACCTGCTCATCGCCTTCTTCTGCATCCCGGTCACCACGCTCCAGAACCTCTCGGACACCTGGCTGGGGGGTGAGTCCCCTGGTCCCTGGTCCTGGCCATCCATGGCGGGGGGGGCCCCCCTTCCCCCTGCGCCCACACACTCCGCCCCTCCGACCTCCTGACGTTTCTCCCTAGCAAAGCAGTCAGGGCCTTTCGCAGAACTTCCTCACCTGCGCTCACGGGCAGATAAGTTTTTGCCGCTGGTGATTCTGCAGCATGGAGAGGTCAGGAGGGTCTCGCTCTGCAGGCGTTTCAGCTGCCCTTTTCATAGTTGCTAATATCTGTTCGAATTGTTAATAACAGATAAAACTATCCCCACGTTCCCAGCCTCTAGGCTCACTCCCCAACGTGCTGGTGTGGCTTTCAGGTGGCTATTTGCTGCCTAAGCATACACATGGACTTAAAACTGAAATACATTTGCAGAAAAGAATATATTGGACCAGTCGTTAAAAAGTGGGGGGAGGGGTTAGCAGGGCCAGGCCAGGGGAAGGAACCCCAAACCTCAGCCCTCCCTCCTGCCAGAAAGGAGGTAGCTTCCTTGCTTTCCTCAGTAGGGGCTGCAGTGGGGATGGGGGGTGGCGGTGGCGGGGGGAGTCCATGAGTTGTGCAGTGAGTGGAGGTTGGGAGAATAGGTACTGGCTTCCGGAAGGATCCAGTCCTTCCAGAGACAGCTGAGGAGGTGTCCTTGGTGCCCCCACCCCCGGCCCTGGGGCCTGCGGTGCACCTTGGAGCGGGGAGGCATCGGTTGCAGCCGCGTGAGTGGGTGGGCGCGTTCCTGTGGCCACCGGGACGTCCTCACAAGGTGGTGGGAGACAGAGGGGGGCTGTGAGGGGGTGGGCCAGGGCCTCCGGGCCCTGCGTTCCCACCCCTTTGCCAAATCTGTTTCACCTCATGGAGCGTGTGTTGTCCGTCCCGCCGTGGCCTCTGTGAGACCCTCGTGGCCTTTCGCTGGCACCGTCTTTCCCATTAATTTGCTCCGGGTTTATTGTTCATGGAGCAGGATGCTTCGACTCAGGACCTTTTGGTTCCCATCTCACCAGCGATGAAGAATTTCTCCAAATGCATAAAACACTGGAGCATGTAACGTGGCCTTGAATAGGACATGTGACGCAGAGAGCTGTGAATTGATTTATGGGTTCGAGAGACCCCTGTACCGGAGTGTTTGCCGGGTGCCCAGTGCCATGAACTCCCGGTCTCAGTGCTGGTGAAGACAGGTCTAGGGCGCGTGGTGGTGCCGCCCGGCAGCTGCAGCCCCGCGTCGAAGGGACAACCTCCCTGAGCAGCGTGGGACATCTCCCGGGAACCAGGGGACTTCAGAGCGGAGGGGCTGGACTGGGGCCTCTTGGGGTCTGTTTCATTGACTAGTGGCTAGAAAATTTCATTTGTTATAATGATTTTCCATTTTGTATACTATTTTGGAAACTTGAGGGTCCCTGGGAACATTTAAGGAAAGTAGAATTAATGAAAAAAAAATCAACAGTATTATGGGGCTTTTCAAACGTCTCATAATTGGGTGATGGACGTTATTAGCGAAGAACAGCCTCAGGCAAGCAGCGCAGTAGGAGAGAGGACAGGAACGCGGCGGCGGCGGCGGCGGCGGCGGTGGCGGGGGGCTCAAGAGCGGCCGTGCGTGGGCCGGGAAGTTAAAACCGGGCCCCTGGGGCTAGCCTGTGGGCGACCTGCCCTAGAACCCGGCGTGTGGACGCCGCGAGAAGAAAAGGAGCTAGAGGTTCAGAGACCAGGACGTTTTCTCGAGAGGCGGTGGGCGCAGCACCAGGATTTACAGAAAAGATTCTCTCTACTTAGCACCACGGCATTGCACAGTTAGTGCGTTTAGCCATTCTGCTATTTTTGACGTCTTTTATACTAATTCAAGGTTATTAGACATTTGGTAAGCACTTTAGTACAGGAATTACATAAAAATGCCACAGGTTGTTTTATTTCTGGGGAAGGACACTTGATGATGTATTTTTCTTTTTGGTCAATAACCTTCACATTGAAGACTTTTTTCCAAATATCTAGCTTGACCTTCTACATTTCTGCCCTCGTACACACACAAAAAAATCCCTCCTTCATTACTTGACAGTGACTTAGGTTAACATTTTAAACACCCTGAAACCACGGGGCCTCCTGCGTTCCCGTGTGAACGTTGTTCTGGGCTCATTTCATTCTGCGTTTTTAAAGCCTGTTGCCATTAGTGGGGAGGAAAACACCAGTTCAGTTATTTTTCTAAAATAGTGTTTGTAGCTCTTAGAATAATGGAAAATAGGAGAAAAAACTCCAGAAAAAGAATAATTTTTCTTCTTGTTTTCTGGCACAAACGTACAGCCAGAGGTTCTTCTCATATCGTGAGAGGAGGGTGCCCTGCAGGGCGGGGTGGGGGACTGAAGGGTGGGAGTGAGCTCGGGCATTCCGGGGGCTCTGAGAGACACAGCTCTGACGTAACACCAGGTGATCCCAGAAGGGGAGAAGGGAAGGACGGCTCAAGGAAAGAGTGCCCCGCACAAGGAAGGCAGGGATCACCCCAGTTTAACACGGCCATTTGTGGGAAGAAGTGTCACAAAGGACATGTTCTCATGGAGTAGCTTAGGCCTGCACGAGTCACACGGGGAGGGCGACGGTGTGGCCGGAGCCGACTGAGGGAGGAGTCACCAGGAAGAAGAGTAACGAAGGCGGATGTTTAATAAAGCACAGAGACAGCCCTTGCGCCTATTTTGCTTCGGGTTTCTAGACCTTGAAAAAGGATCTCCCCATTAAAAAGGGCAACGCAAAGGAGGTTAGAATAGAAATAAGGACCAAGATAAATTCGTTGGCAGCAAAAGAGCATCTACCTACTTTTAAAGCAACTCACATCTTCAGCGTAGACCTTGGTGGCGGAACTTCCCGGCAAACTTATGCTGGGACTTGGACGGAGCTTGGAGACTCTACTGGCGGTTTCTTAGGAAGCTGGTTGGAGAAGTGTCCGGAGGGATGAGCTGGACGAGTGCTGCCTGGATGCAGGCCGGGGCTAAGAGGGCAGGTTACAGAAGTGCAGCTCGGTGTAGAACTCGCACGAGATTATTCACAGGGTGACCCGTGAGCTGGTGGTCGGAGAGCTGCCCCGGGGCACGGGGACACGAAGGTGGGCGAGGGTGACGCAATGGGAAGACCTGGAGCCAGTGGCCGGGGCCCGAGTCCTCATTCCGGGACTCGCCGGGACCCCAGCGAGTCCCAGAACCCCTCGGGCTGCAGTATCTTTGTCTGGGAAACACGGTGGGGTTGTAGAACGGGGTGCCCTTTGGGGGCTGTTGGCCCACAAACGATCATCAACCTCAAATGTGCCAAGTTTACCTCAGTTCTGTGAACCCAGCTGCCTCACGATGACAGAAAAAGCTGCCTTTTATTAAAAACACATCCTGTCCCGGGGCTTACGCCCTGGTGTGCAGTACTCAAGCTGCACCCACGCGACAAGGGGGTGTTACCCATCCCTTTTCCAGGTGCTGACTTCGAGGCTCAGGGCACCTGACAAACAGGTCAGACGAGTCAGGGTTACCCTGTACCCTGACAGCAGGAAATCAGGTGACCGGTGTCCCATGCTTTATGATGGATGAGACGGGGAACACCACAGCGAGAGAACACTGCAGTAATGATTAGCATTTGTTTGGACACCTCCTCCTGAAATCGTTGAGAAAGGACAGGTTTGATAATGGGAAGTTTCTCCTGGTGCTCATTTAACCTTGACCTGTCCAGCTTTTATTTTTTTTTAAATAAACAATTTGCTTGAAAGAAGAGAAGAAATTCTGATCAAAATTTCAAACAAAGGAGAACTATCCGGATAAAGAACTTATTCACAGGTTCATCTATGCAAATATCGCATCCCAAATGGGATTTGAACTTAATTCATTCACAGCATTCAAACAGCAAAATATGTTAGTATTGAAGGTAAATCCCTTCTCTCGGCATCTGAAGCATCCTGCTGGACCAGAAAGGGCCTTCGCCCGGAACCGAAGGTGGAGGTGGGAGGCAGCTGGCTCTTGGGTCGCCAGCTGGACCCCCCGAGAAGGTCTGGGAAGTAAGAGCTGGAACAGAAGCATCTATGGGCTCTTCCCCCTGAGTCACAGGACTCTGGGATGAACAGAAATGGTCTGTTGGATGGACCCCGTGCATTTCAAGTTGATTTCAAGTTCAGCGGAAACCGGCCGTTTGAAAACGCCAGCGTAACAGGCACTACTGTAAATGTCTGCTCAAGTCCCAGCACAGGGCGTGCAGACCAGGGAGTCAGGGTGGTCCTGTCACTTCTGCCTGAGCCAGACCGTGCCCTGAGCCCAGGGTTTCGGGGTGTCTTCCTGCTGGGCCGTGGAGGAACAGCTGGGGCCACTGGGACAGACTGGGCGGTGACACGGCGGTGTCTGTCAGCGCTGGGGAGAGCCGCTGTTGCAAAAGGTGGCCGGTGAGTTCTGAAGCTCTCTCCAAAGTGGAGTGGCTGAGCGCCTCTCGACCACTCACGCGTCTTCAGTGAACCGCGTGTCTGCGGGACGCCTGCTGTGGGCCATCATGAACGCCCCGGGCGCTTCTGTGGAGGTCCTGGACAAACGTCCTTGCTCCGGTGTGGCGGACCCCGGTACAGCCCAGGTCCCAAGGGCCAACGACCCCGAGTGCTTTTCGGCAAGGTCGTGGGGTGTGTTGTATTTTAGGGAAAAAGGGATATTTTTCCAAGGTCGCCCTCTCTTGCGACTGCACTCTTTTCAGTAAGCAGAAGCCTTGCTCTCTCTCTCCAGCAATCACTGCCCCCCACCCCCCCCCACCCCGTGGGCACGGGCCGAGCATTTAAAAGCCATAAGGGTGCTCTGCTCTTGAGAGAGTGGCCGAGGCACTCACAGACACTCTCCCCGTGAGAGAGTAGTCGTGCCGTTCCCCTTTCTCTCCACAGGGTTGCTGTCGCCTGTGCATTTATTCTGGTCTCCAGCCACAACAGGCGGACTCTGCCGGCCGGAGTCCGCCACACTCCGGGAGTGCTGACCGTCGAGTAGGCCTGGGGGCCAAGGAGACAGGGGGCTGGCAGGGGAAGGACTCAGGGGCAAGAGGAGCATAGGAGGGAGGAGGGGTGAGGGGGAGGGGATGGGCTGCCATCGCCCAGAGGGGTGTCCAGCGGGAGGGCCTGATGGGAGAAGGGACACGTGGGTGGAGCCCCCCCCCACCCCCGGCCCCGTGCAGTGTGCGAGGGAGGGGCCAGCGCAGCAGGGCTGGGAAGGGCGCCCGCGGGGGACGGGGCGAGAGGAGTCCTGCCTGGTGACAGCTGGGACCACACGACCTCCGTGGTCTTGGCCGCGTTTCTGCTCCCGAGCCGGCACTCGTGCTGCCGGTTCAGAATAATTAATTTGGAAACAATGAGTGCGACGGATTCAACAGCAGGGATGTCAGGCCTGGGCTCATAAATACTGATGGCGGAGATGCCAGTCAGACAAAATATGGGCAGTGAACTCGAATATTTTAAAAAACTATTGCATCAGCCATGTCTGCACACCAAATCTCATGGAAAGTCCCGGGCAGGAAGTCAAAGGTGAGTGACAAGTCAAAGAGGGAGTGCGGGCCTGCCCCTGGAGGACCCGTCCTTTGTGGTGATGTGGCTGGGACTGGGGACCAGGGACCAGGAGTCAGAGGCTCCCCTGTATCTTGGGACCCGGAGAGCCGTGGCCCGAGCAAAGGTCGCATGGGATTTTGCTGACCCATTCTCAAAGGCCGAGACCCCTTGCCCTGTGGTCGCTCCATCGCCCGTATCTACCTACCCTTCAGGGACTCGGACCCCTCGCAGGGGGAGGGGCTGTCAGCCGGCGCGCCCTGTCCCCTGTCTCCCCTGTCCGTCCTCGGGCATCTGCCGTCAATCGCAGACAGAAAACTTCTGGGCGGGGGCTCCCAGGGAGCAGCCGAGAGGGCTGCCGAGAGACAGAGGGAGCGCCCCTCCTTTCTGTGTCTGCCCCGTGTGCCGCCGCAGGTGCCTTCGTCTGCAAGATGGTGCCCTTCGTCCAGTGCACGGCCGTCGTCACCGAGACCCTGACCATGACCTGCATCGCCGTGGAGAGGCACCACGGGCTGGCGCACCCTTTCCGGATGAAGTGGAGCTACACCCACCGGCGGGCTTTCGCCATGCTAGGTGAGGAGGGCCTGCCCCAGCCCCGAGTGGACTGGGGGGCAGCTTCTCTCCCAGCTGGTGGGCGTGGGGGGGTTACCTGGGGGGGCTTCGGTTCGCTCCCCGCCCACCTCACCCCTACCCCCACCCCATCTCTCCCCGGGGTGCTCTATCTCTCATTTCCGATGTCCTTCCTTGGTTTCAGGCTCAACCGGGGGAGCCCGGTCTCCATGGACCGTGGCCAGCCCCTCAGTGGCGTTGCCGCAGTAATGTGGGTCAGGTCAGGCAACTGCTGTCCTGCCCCGAGGGGCCGCTGAGACGCCTTTGTCGAGGCAGGCAGCTTTTCACGGGAGCCAGGGAAGGCGCTTTCAGAAGGGCAGAGGGCGGGGTGCTGCCCGGAAGGAGGTGGGCCCAGGGGAGCGTTGGGTGCTGGGTGCGGCGACGCCCGACAGAAACGGGACCCGGCCACTTCCCGGTTGCCTGCGGCGTCCCCGAGTCAGCGGGGCTGGGGTGCAGGGCCCCCGTGAGACGCGTCCGTCTGAGAGCTGCGCACAGTCTCGCAGAAGAACTCTGTCTGAAAATCCCCGCTCGGCTGCTTGCGCCCTGATGGGCTTCAAGCGGTCTGAGCGTGCGGCGGCCCGATAATCAGAGCTTGGGGGCGCGGCGAGAGCAATCAGCGGAGAGAACAATTTTCCCCAGCGTCTCACTCTTGAGAACAGCCAGTCGGCGTTTGCAGCCAGCGCGGGCTCGCGGGGCGGGGGGGGGGGGGGGACTCCTGGGGGCTTTGCAACGCCAAGCTCGTCCGAAGTGGTTTGAAATGACAGACAACCCGGTGGGGAAAAACGGTTCCGGTCGTTAGTTTGGTGCGGCCCCCTTCCTGCCAGGAACTCGCAGACCTCCTGGCTTTCAATAGCTGACTGCCTTCCGCCGCCGTCAGGATGTTTAGAAGCGGCGGGCGGGCGTGGGGAGAGGGCGAGGAGAGACACACTGGGTGGAAGGGGGTTACTGGAAAGGAGGAAGAGGGGAGGACGTCTCAGCACCCGGAGGCACAGTGGGAAAAAGGCCGTCCGGCCGCTTCCACTCAAAAACGTCACCGGACGGGGAGGGTTCCAGGTCAAGGGGGCTCCTCTTCCATGGGGCTTCCCTGTAGGGCTGCCTGATGCTCCCCCCACCCCCCCAGCTCTGGGACACTGTGAAGCGGCTGGTATGGCCCCTGGGCTGGGGCCGTGTCCCCGAGCAGGCATGGGCCCCGGGGGCGGGGTGGGGGAGGGGCTGGCCCCGAACTGAGCCCATTAGAGTCGACTCCTCCCCAAATCCCACTGAAGACTAGAGAAGTGGCTGGGCACCTGGTGACACCGTCAAGTGAGGACAGGACAGCGCAGGGGTCCAGGGCGGGGGCGGAGGGAGAGAGGGGAGTGAGGGGAGACCTGCGGGAGCCGCGGGGCCGTCTGGGACCGTGCTGGTCCGTGCGTGTCCTCAGGGTGAGCACCAGCGGGGCCTTGGTGACGAGTCTTGGCTCCTTGAAACCCAGGGTCACAGGTCGTCAGTCTCCCAGAGCCCCCCGCTCCGTCCGGAAAGCGCGAGCAGAGCTCCAGCTGGGAGGTTTTCCCCAGGACTGGCGTCGGGGCGTCGGGGCTCTGGGGTCTGGCCCCGTCCGAGGCTGTTGAGGGTGTCCCTTGTCTGTTGTAAGGACCCTCGCGAAAGCAGGTCTCTCTACAGACTCTCTGGTTTCCGAGGTTGTGTGTGTGTTACGTAAGTGAGGATATAATGCCCGCGTTAGGACGGTTAAGGTGAAGGCCCTTTCGGTTTTAAGCGGAAGTTTTAGAGGGCGATCTAGATCGTGTTTAAGATTTTCATTCATTCAACCGACGCATGTCTGCTGACCGAGTGCCTACGAGGGTGCTTCTCCGGGGAAAGCCAGGTGGTCAGCGCTACCTGGCGGGGGGGGGCGGGGGTGGACCTCCAGGGCTTTCCTGGAGAAGGTGACTTGAGCCACACCCTGGAAAGGGAGCGCACGGGTGGAGAGTGGGGGCAGGGGCCAGGCCGGGGGGCAGCAGTGGGGACCCGGGCAGAGCGCCCTCCCGGGTTCGAGACTGCAGCGCCACGCACGCGGCGCGGATGAGGCGCACTCTGACGCGGGGGTCGTTTCCGCAGGTGTGGTGTGGCTGGTGGCGGTCGTCGTGGGCGCCCCCATGTGGCACGTGCAGCGGCTGGAGGTAGGTTCAGGGCTGGGCCCGTCACACCCGTGGGAAACGTTCCCCTCCCACTCCGTGACAGCCACTGCCCGCCGTGCAGCCGGCTCGCAGCCGACACGCACGGTCTCGGGCAGTGCCGCGGGGGGTTTCAAGTGGCCTCAGCGTGTTTTAAGACCCCCCGCCCCCGGCTTTGTCTAGCTCTTCCTCGAGCTGTTACCGGTGAGACTTCGGTGCCCACAGCACACTACACCAGGGTCCCCTTCCGCACGCTCCTGCCGGCTGCACCTGGCTTCCCAGCGTCCCGCAGCGTCCGCTCACGTTGCGAGGGTCCAGGGGCCACTCCCAAATGTATTTTAAGTCACATAAAAAGTTTTTGAACTGTGTACCCTTTTATGCCTTTTGAAGTCAGCCCAGGCAGGCTGTGCCCACCTGCAAGGATATCGGATATGCCTTCAGGATTGGGAAACTTAAAATGTGGCGCTACTTGTTTGTTTATTTATATATATATATATATTTTAAAGATTTTATTTATTTATTTTTAGAGAGGGAAGCGAGGGAGAAAGAGAGAGAGAGAGAAACATCCATGTGCGGTTGCTGGGGGTCATGTCCTGCAACCCAGGCATGTGCCCTGACTGGGAATCGAACCTGCGACGCTTTGGTTCGCAGCCCGCGCTCAAGCCACTGAGCTACGCCAGCCAGGGCCCTATTTATATTTTTTAAAATTTGTTTTTAAAGTGTGGCTGGCGTACAGCCTGATGCTGGCCGCACTAGTTTCAGGGGTACAAGAGCGGCTCGGTCTTCTCACACCTCCCAGTGCGGTCACCCCACCCACCCTGGGCCCCTGGCTGCCAGCTCGCAGACTTATCTCAGCATCGTCCACTCCACTACCTCCCCTTCGCCTCTCCCGCCCGCCCCCGCCCCGCCCCGCCCCGCCGGCTGGGAACCGTCCCCTGGTCGGCCCCTGCATCTAGGAGCCTGTTTGTGTTTCGTTGTTTTGGCTCTGTTTTGACTTTGGTTCCAAGTGTGAGTGGAACAGCACGGTGCTTGTCTTCCTCTGCCTGGCATGATTTCACCCAGCACGACTGAGACTGGGCCCAGGCATGCTGTCGCCAACGGCAAGATTTCCTTCTGCCCCCCCTGCTGTGCGATATTCCGCCGCGCACACACGCCACACCGTCTGTGTCCGCTCATCCGCTGAGGGGCACCTAGGTCCCTCCCACGCCTGGCCATTGTGAATAACGCTGCAGTGCACCCCGGGGCGCTTATGTTCTTTTCAAAGTCGCGTTCTCACGTTCTTCGAGTAAACAGCCAGCAGTGGGATTGCTGGGTTACATGGTAATTCTGTGCTTAGTATTCTGAGGGCCCCCCATGCCGCTCTCCACAGGGGCGGCACCGGTCTGCATGCCCCCCAGCAACAGTTCCCCGGGGGTCCCTCGTCGCCACGTCCTGGACGGCACAGTCGTTTGTGGACTTCCTGACAGTGGCCGGTCCTGCCCCGTGTGTGTGAGGGGGTACCTCCTCGAGGCTCTGACTCCCGCCTCCCTGGTGGTCACTGGCGATAGGTGTCCTTTCCTGCGCCTGCTGGCCATCCGCCTGTCTGCTTTGGGGAAACGTCTTTTCACTTCCTCTGCCCATTTTCCGATCAGATTGCTCATTGTTCTTGTTATTGAGTTACATGAGTTTCTTTAGTGTTTTTGATACCGGCTCCTCATCCGAGAGACCATTTGGATACATTCTCCCCGCCAGTGGGGTTCTTCTCATTGTGTTGGTGGTTTCCTTTGCTGGGCAAAAAGCCTTTTTGTTTGATGTGGTTCCATCTGATTTTTTAAAGATTCTGCTTCCCTTGCCGGAAGGGATGTGTCCGAAAACCGTCACTGAGACTGATGTCGGGTCATTCACTCCCTGGGTTTTCTTTTAGGGCATTTACGGCTTCAGGCCTTGAATTCTTTAGTCTGTTTTGAGGTTGCCTTTGTGCGTGTGGCGTCAGGGAGAGGTCCGGTTTCTTCTTCCTTGCGGGCGGGCGTCTCTGCCCAGGAAATCGCGGTGCGGCTTGTGATGCGGGCGGTGCGCCAAATGAGGCGGGCTCCGTGGGCGGGCACGGAGAGCGAGGTCGTTCTGCCCCCCCCCCGCTCGCTACCTGCAAACATGCGGTGGGTGGGTGGGGGGGGAGGGCGGGGACAGCAGCCCTGTCAGTCCTGTGGTCGCTCAGATAACAGCGCTCCTCCGGCCGCTGCCAGTCACGAGAGCAGGGTCAGTGTGGTTGTTGAAATGTCCAGTTCAGTGTCACGGTCAAATCGTCTGCATTCTCAGAGAGGTCAGGCCATCCCCTTCCCCCGGCGCCATGCACGGGGGATGCGCCCCCTTCGTCTCTGCTTTCCCACCTGTTCCTCTGCCTCCCCCTCAGCCAGCCGGCCGCCCGGCCCCGGGGGCTGCCCAGGACGGTGGGGAGAGGGTGGGGCGGGTGTGCTGTCCCTGTCCAGCCTCCGCCCCAGCAGGAACCCGCACGGACAGGCCCTTCAGAATCAGCCCCACCCGGCCCCCTCTGGGGGTCCGCTGCACGTCCAGGAACGCCAGGAGATTTCTCCACTTTTTTAAATAAAATTATTTCAGCTCTAAATGTAACTTAAGTAGATGTAATTCATTTAGCTTATAGGAAAATGCATCTGACAGCATCGGCAGAGCCAGTCCCTTCGGTCAGATCCGCCAAGCCGGACTTGCTTTCTGTCGGGAAAAGTGTGACTTCGTTTTCCAAGTCAAACACACGGGCTCACCGGCACCCGCAGCCTCCTGCTCGCCCCCAAATCCTGCTAGGGACGGTGTGTGCGTGCTCGGGGGGGGGGGCCAAGGCCTGGGTTCCCGCCCGCGTGAGGGAACGCACCAGCGGCCCCTCCGCTCTGCTGCCCCGGGGCTCGCTCTCGGGGGCCTGGGATGGGTGACGGGTGTCGGGGGGAAGCAGCCAGGCCACCTGACCGCAATGGCCACCCCTGCTGCCCCTCACGGTGTGCGGCTGTGAATGCCCAGCATCTCAGCGCCCGCCCACACCGCCTTCCGTTCAGACGTGGAGCTGCACCCTCGGGGGCAGGGGCACACTGACCCAGGGGAAGCACGCAGCCCGGCTAGTGGGGGCCGAGGGGGCCCTGGTCGAGGTGGCTCCCCGTCTGCGGACCCCAGGGCTGCGGGCCCTGGCGGCTCTGTCTCCGGGAGTCAGAATGCATTTCCCTTCTGTACCCTGGTTCCGGGGAGTCGGGATCTCGGGATAATTATTCACTGGGTGTTTTCATTCCGAATGAGCTGTATTTGTGAATAGCACATAGGTCAGAACCTGAAGCTCATCCCTGGTGAGTATACAAACAAGCTTTCCCCCCACTTGACTGGTGATACGGTTTGCCGGGAATGGAGGCAGAAATACGTCTGAGAGATAAACATCTCATCTGGAAAGCTCTCGAGTGAGAAAAACAGCACCAGCTTTGATAAATTCTCTAACTTGTATTCCTAGTATCCAGAGAAACGACTTTTGAATATACATTAAGTGTGTGTTTGTCCCTTACTGGCATTTGCTGTCTCTATGAATACTGTCACAAGACATTTGAACTGATAAGATGTGTCTGTCAGAAATGGTATTAACGAACAGACATTGACCTTCCATAAATTAAACGCCTCAAAGGCTCACGCTTGAGCCTGAATATTTATAGATTAGCAATGGGGCGAATCCCCATTTCTCATTGACCTTACACCCTAAAAGCTACCGGCTGCCTTCCTAACCCCCGTGCGAGCAGCCGGGGCAGAGTGGCCTGAACCGGCCCGACTTCCAGACACTGGTTCTGAGCGACCGTGAGCCGGTGGCTGCCTGGTCAGGATCCGTCTCCTCAACCACGTGGGGAGCCAGCTCAGGCGGCACTAAGCTGGCCGGCTGGCCGCACGGCACACTAGTTTCACGGCCACTCCGGTGGGCGAGCTGCTCCCGCGCCTCGCTGAGCCCGCGTGTGCCTGGGGCGTAGACAGTGGAGACGGACGAGAAGGGGATCGGTGTGGGGCCTCAGTCCCGTTGGCAGCAGAGGGGAGGATCAAACTCCGAGGGGCATGAGTGGTGACATGGGGAAAGCCACACTCCCGGACGAAGCACCGCGGGGACTGCAGCCGTCACGGTGCACCCCGGGGGGCGGGGGCGGCCCCTGCCCCGAGACGCCTCCAACGGCGCCGTTCTCGTCCCGAAGGTGAAGTACGACTTCCTGTACGAGAAGCAGCACGTGTGCTGCCTGGAGGAGTGGGCCGGCCCCGAGCACCAGAAAGCCTACAGCACCTTCATCCTCGTCATCCTCTTCCTCCTGCCCCTGGGGGCAATGCTGGGCCTGTACGGGAAACTCGGCTACGAGCTCTGGGTCAGGAAGAGAGTGGGCGACGACGGCTCGGCGCTCCGGACCATGCCCGGGGGCGAGGTGTCCAAGATGGCCAGGTCGGTGTCGCCGCGGGGTGTCCCTCTCCGCCCGAAACGCAGGGGTCCGGGATTCCTGGGTCGTTTGGGCGGAGCCACGTGGCCGGGACGGTGGGAGGCGTGGTCTAGGCTTTTGAGATTCTATGTATGGCCGGGGAAAAAGGGCAAGCTCACCAGCTCCCAATCCACGGTGACCGCTAGAAACTTTCTGGGACGTTAGTCATTGTTCTGTCTTCATCTACACGTCAGCGCGACGCGGTAGGAAGGGCTGTGGGCGCTTGCCTCTCTGCTGCCCGCCAGCCCCACAGTGCAGGTAAGTCTCCTCCCTCCCCGGCCCCGCCCCCGCCCCCCTCTTGCGCCCCGGGGGGCCCCGCAGGACCCTAAAACACGCAGATGACAGGTAGGGAGAGCCTTTGGAAACCAGGGCACACTACTCCATTACTGATCTAGTTCATTGTCACCTAAGGGCATTGCTTTCTGAGTGCATTCGTTAACAGAAAATGTACGACACAACTTACTGCTGTGGCACCTGTAGTTCATACGGTTCGTTTCATAATCTACAAAGATCACAACGGAGATTCAAAATGAAGAGAAACAGCCCTGGCTGGCGTAGCTCAGTGGATGGAGCGCGGGCTGCGAACCAAAGTGTCGCAGGTTCGATTCCCAGTCAGGGCACATGCCTGGGTTGCAGGCCATGACCCCCAGCAACCGCACATTGATGTTTCTCTCTCTCTCTCTCTCTCTCTCTCTTCTTCCCTTCCCTCTCTAAAAATAAATAAATAAATAAAATATATATAAAGAGCCCAGCTTATTTAAAAAAAAAAAGGAAGAGAAACAAAGCCTGGCTGGGTGTCTCCGGGTTTGATGAGATGTCAGCATTTCTTCAAGTGTGCAGCGCCCTCTAGTACCCAGTCTGTGTGAAGAGCTCCTCCCTTCCCCGGGTCTGGGGTGCTCAGTCCGCACCTCGGAACTGCCTGCTGGTTCAGCTCTCAGGCTTCCTGGAAGAAGGGGCCCCCACGTTGAAATAAGAAGTAACGACGGTGCCTTTTTATAAATGTAAAGCGCCATGCAGACGTGCAGGCCCCTTGCACGTGCTTGTCCCCTTCCCGGGAGTAACAGAGAAGACGGGTTGGAATCCTGGTGAACCGTGTTCCTCTAGAGATACGGTAAAAGCCTGCCTCTCACGTATATCCTCAGGGCTTGCCCGAGTTCGTAGATGTTGGTATTGTCTGTCACAGGGACGGGTGCTCTTCGATATGAAATGGAGCGGAGCTCAGGCACCGAAGTCAGGCCGCCCGTGTTTAAATCCCCGGGAGCCCCGGTGCGCCTGCGTCCCTTCCTTGCCAGCCCGGCTCTGCCGGTTGCTTAGCCTTTTCCGTGCCTCAGCTCCGGCGCCTGGCGATGGCTCGCCGGGAAGGTGAGCGGCACGGTCCAGGCCAGGCATCCGGCAGGGGCCAGGCGCACGAGGGGCACACCCACAGGATGCTGACGGCGGGAGAGAGTTGGGGTGCGGGAGAGCGGCGACGGGGAGGATGATGCGCTGCCCCCACGTGCCCTGTCGTGGACTCTGTCAACGTGGGTGAGCTCAGGGCTGCGAGGCCTGGGCTCAGACCGTGTCCCGTGGCTCTGCGACGGGGCGCACACGCGTGTCCGGGGGAGGCCGGCCGATACGGTGTGTCCTTGTGGGTGCAGGAGGAAGAAGCGGGCGGTCCTCATGATGGTGACTGTGGTGACCCTCTTCGCCGTGTGCTGGGCGCCCTTCCACGCCGTCCACATGGCGCTCGAATACGGTGAGTGCTCGCCGCGCTCCCGTGAGGGGGCGCTGCTTTGTCTCCTGCTGGCACGCACGGCGAGTCGCTGGTGCTTGTTGCCTTTGCCTCGGGGAGTCGAGTATCGAATATTTCCTGGTTCCAAGACCACCAGACCATCGCGCGGTAGACCATTCTGTGCGACGGGGGCCACACCCTCACAGTCACAGAAGAGCGCGGGAAGACCCTGGGGCTCTCCCTGCACGCCGCACCTCCTGTTCTCCCCGAGTCGCTCCCCTCGGGGCAGAGGGGCAGGCCGCGAGTCCCTTACCCAGGGTCCCACTGTGAGGCACGGGGGTTCCGTCCCACGTGGGGCCTCCGCCCACCCCTCGGTGAGGTCTCCCACATAGTCTCGGGCGTCCGGTGGTTCTCGGGGGAGAGGTCTCCCAGACAGTCTCAGCTGCTTCCCAGGTGACCGTGTCTCTAAATGCCAGTGAGCATCGGAGAGCAGCCATTGCTCCCGGGTTTCCTGCGGCTGGGAGCCCCGTTGAAACTCGGGGACACCCTAACAGTGCCTACCGGGCCCCCGGCCGCCTGTCAGGCCGAGGCCCGGGGAATGAATAAGGCCGTCCCACGGAGGTGGGTGTTCTCCAGACGCCGTCACCGCCCCCCACCCCCGGCCCCCGGAGCGGGCTGGGGGATTTCTCACCGCGTTCCCCAGGCGTCCCTGTGGTGGGTGCAGACGGGGGTGGGGGGGGCACACAGACAGTTTACTCCAGGGCCGTCCACACAGGCGCACCCCCTCAAGCCTGTCTCTCCGTTCCAGGCGACTTCGAGAAGGCCCACGACGAGGTCACCGTCAAGATGACCTTGGCCGTCGTGCAGGTCATCGGGTTCTCCAACTCCATCTGCAACCCCATCGTGTACGCGTTCATGAACGAGAACTTCAGGAAGAACTTCCTGTCTGTGGTTTGCTGCTGCCTCGCGAGAGCACCCCACTCCCCTGCACGCAGGCGGCCCGGGGCCCCGGGGGTGGGGAGGGCGCGGGGGAGAGCCAGGTGCTGCCCCCGGGAGCACTCCGTCGGGGGTGCCGAGGGAGAGGCGTTCGGCGGGGGCAACCTGGAAGCCAGGCTGTGCGGCCAGCCCCAGCTGCCCCCGCCCGTCTGAGCGGCCGAGGGTTCTGCCTCAGGCTGCGGGCACTGGTTACAAGTTACAACTCCGTCTCCGTAATTAACGCCAGTCTCGGCTTCACCGAAGGGGAAGAGTATTTTGAGCAAAGGTCAAAGATGTTAGTTTCATCTTTGAATGCTGAGAAGAAGGAACTTTAAGTCGCTTTTTCCCATAAAAAGTAGGACATTGCGCATGAAGACACAATTCTGAAACATCACTGAGCTGTCCTCGTGGCGCAGTTAGATGAGTGGATTTTAAAAAGTCTTGGACGCACTTGGCTGGCAGTTTCCCCCACCCGGTCAGTGTGATGGGGCTCTTTCCGTGTCGTTAAAACTGGACGAGAAGATAAAAACAATATCTTCACCCCTTAAGAAGAAGAGTTGCACGCTGTGAATGTAACTTCTAAGGCCAGTGGAAACTTTAAGCTCGGTGACACATAGTTTCGAAGCTAAAGCCCGGCCAGTAATCACAGTGTCCAAGGAGGTGGGGACGCGGCAGGTGATGGTGCAGGAGACTTAGAGGCAGACACCGGGTTCCAGCTTCTCACGGTCCTGCCGGCCACCCCTGCTGGGCCCCCTGGGGGTCCCTGCAGCCCTGTGGCTCCAGTCCTGCCGCGGGGCGCCCCTGTGGGATGGAACGCGCCCGGGTTCTGGCCTTGCCACAGCTCCTCGGGGCCCAGGATCCCCCTGTCCCCTGTCCCCTGTCCCCTCTGCCCCTCGTCCTCAGCCCCTCCCAGCCCCGCCCCCCCCGCGTGCCTGCCTTGTGATGGCTTCTCTGCTCAGAAGGAGACAGCTTCTCTGCGGAGTGCGAGACTTCGCACCACTGCATCTCAGATATTCGTGTGTTTAGGCCCTTCACTCCCACCAGTGGGATGAGACTTCTGGCTGCGTGAGGGGGCTGTTGGTGCAGTCAGCACGAGAGAGAGAGAGACAGTCAGCTCCACGCCCACGACCTTCACTGCACCCCCGACCGGCCCCCACGAGCGGGCGCAGGCAGACCAGTAGTGCTCCCCACTCCCACAGCGCACCCCAGCCCCCCAGCCCCCCTTCCCCTCCCTTCTCAGCCTCCTCTGCCTCCTACACCGCCTCCCAAACGTCGTGGACCCGGTGCCCTCGTCAACATCCGAGACTCCCACGCCGGCGGCAGCCTCGTGGCCGCGGCGCCTGTCCTGCCTCGCTCTCCCACGCTGACCCTCCCTCTGGCCAGGAGACAGAGGGGGCGGGGAAGCTCGAGGACCCCCGGGGACGCCCGCTTGCTCAGCTTCAAGGCGTGGGGGCCGGAGAGCTCAGGCCGCGGGGATCTTGCAGGAGACGGACCCTTTATCTCACGCGCGTCGCCGTCAGCGTGAGTGGAGGAAAGCGCAGATACAGCGGCGCGTGTGCTGTGGACGCCGTCGAGAGGAGAGCCGTGCCCCGGCGTGCGCGGAGACGGACACGCCGTCCCCCCGGATCGCCGGGTGCCCTGCAGCTGCGCGGCGAGGACCCCTCCCCCGGACACCGTTCAAGACGAGGCCGACGCCTGACCTCCGGGGGCTCCTGTCTGAGCGGCACACGTCCACGCGACTCTCTCGCTAGATGCGACGTGCGCGAGCTCCCGTACGACGTGGTGGAAACCGCAGGGGCCTGCGCCGCCGCTGACCACGGGTTGCAGCCCCGGCGCGGCGCGGCGCGGCCCGGCCCGGGACCTTGAGAGAGTCGGCGACGACTTCGGCGTTCTCCGCAGAGTGGCAGGGCGCCAGGGGAAGCTCTCTGCCTCCTCCCCTCTCCTGGTTCCGTCACATCGTGTGACGACGCTTCAGAGACGAAAGCAGTTACCGCGCATTTGTTTCCCATTGGGCGGGTCTCTTGGCTCCGTTGTCTGAAGGTTTGGAAGCGGAAGCCGGTGCAGCCCCTGACGGGAACCCCTGCCGAACAGGCCACAGCGGCCGAGTCCCCGGCGGCGGGTGGCACGCAGCTCCCGGGCCACCGGGGGTTCTGAGCGCCTGCGTGCGGGGTCTCTCCCTCTTCTTCCCGACGACACCACAGTCCCCTCCCCGGCGTCCTTCAGACCCCTTGGTCCTCCACCCAGGCATCTGCTCTCCCCCCTTTTCCTCTCTCATTTTATTCCACCTGTCTTTCCCTTGTCTGGAGCTTGGGGTGCGCTGAAAATGTCCCCTTGGGTCCAGGAGGTGGGTTGAGGAGGGGGTACAGGAGGCAGGTCTCCTGCTCCCCAGCGTGTGGGTGAAAGGACTGTGGAATCAGTGAAAAGAGAAAGATCGCTGCTCCGACTGCGAAGCCCTCTATTTCGTCGTGGGTCGTTCTGCCAGAAAGAGCGCCGGGTCTGTCCTCCCGGCCGACCAGAGCACACCCTCCCCTCCTCAGAGTTCTCGTGGACCCGGACGCCAGCCCCCGGCGCGCCGCTCGACTGAGACTGGTGGCTAGGTGCAAGACAATCTTGAAGGAAGGACCAGGTTGCGGGGCTTGTTCATCTTATTTGAAGACTCTTTTTTTTTTTTTAAAGATTTTATTTATTTATTTTTAGAGAGGGGAGAGAGAGAGAGAGAGAGAGAGAGAGAGGGAGAGAGAAACATCAATGTGTGGTTGCTGGGGGCCGTGGCCTGCAACCCAGGCATGTGCCCTGACTGGGAATCGAACCTGCAATGCCTGGTTCTCAGCCCGCGCTCAATCCACTGATCTACGCCAGCCAGGGCTGAAGACTCTTTATAAATTGCAGCAATGAAGAGCGTGTGGCCTAAGGAGAGATGTAAATGCAAAAGAACAGAGATGCCAGAGGGAGAGACACATAATAAGTATGTGTCAACTTGTTTGCACCAAAGTGGCAAGAGAGTTCAGCGGGGAAGGGAGAGGTTTCCAACTGAACGGCTCTGGGAGCAACTGGACGTCCAAGCGCAAAGAACAGGCCCCTGACCCGTATGCTGCAGACACAAAGCTCACAATGTCCCCCAGACTGCAGCAGAAGAGCTAAACATGTGAACCTGCAAAATGAAATGGGCAGGGGAGTTTTGTGCCCTGGAATTGGGTGAGGCCAGGGTGTCACAGCAGGGCACGAGAAACCAGAAGCCGGAAAGAAAGAATCGATCAAATGAACTCCATCAAAATCCGCCCCCCCCAATAGCAAACAACAACAACAACAACAACAACAACAACAACAGAACCTGTGTGTGAAAGTTCATAGCAGGTCAATCCAAAGTAACCAAACACCGGGGACCCCACACGTCTACCGGCTAGTGAATGAACACACATTGGTTCAAGCCTTTCGGCTGAAGAGGCATTCGGTAGTAGCTCAGCAGCAAAAAGAGTGGATGATGGCGGCGAGAAGGATTCCTTTCCAGGGGGGGGTGCCGTGCTCAGTGAATGGAGCCAGGCCGGAAAGACCGTGCACCCTGTGGTTCCGGTCACACGGAATTCTGGAAGAGGCACCAGCGCCAGGACAGCAAGCGGCCACGTGGTTTTCAGGGGCCGGCCGCGGGCAGGAGCCGGAACCTGAAGGGCATGAGAGACTTTTCTGGGGGGGCAGCAGTGGCCCCCCTCTTAGTTCTGGTTATGTGCTCGTCGTACTCCACGCAGCTGTTAAAATCTGTTGAATCGTGTACTATAAAAGCATGCATCTGCTGTGTGAAAATTATACTTTGATTTTCAAAAGTACATGAGGTACATTTTCATTTTCCAGTGAAAAAAAATGCCAAATCCCGTTATTGGTCCCTCGGCTGGGACGAGAGCCCACAACCCAGGCATGTGCCCTGACCGGGAGTCGAACGGGTGACCTTTCAGTTTGCAGAAGGACATCCAACCAACTGTTGGGGCCACACCGGTCGGGACCTGGTGCATTACATTCGTGGCATTATAGTAGCACTTAGATCCGCTAAGCCGAAAAGAAATAAAAGGGTAAGGACTCTGCTCTCATGACCCTGCGGGCCCCACGGGTGGGAGGTGACAGAGACAAAACCCAGCACGATGCAGAGGCCGGCCCGCTGGCGAGGTTTGGAGGAGCCTCCTGGGGAGTGCCAGGGCATGGCTTTGGTGGGGAACCCCAGGTTTGTGCCTTGACCCACCCACCCCCGTCACTAACGAGGAAGCCCAGGCCTCCGTAGGCTCCTCGGGTCTGGGAGGGGTTGGAGCCCTTTGCCCCTCTGCGGTGAGCGGCCAGCATCTCGTCCGAGTGGGTCCTCGCTTGAGCGGCTCCGCCCCGACCCGGGGGGTCCGATGCTGTCGGCTGCGGCGTGGAGACCCTGTTCCCTGGGTCGCGTGGCCCGTACCCCGCCGCCCTGGAGCATCTGTGCTGCACAAAGATGCCCGCAGAGCCGCCCGGCCTGGCCCCTCCCGCCCTGCCAGGAGACCGCAGCACAGAAGCTCTTCCCTGCCACTCCGCCCGGGGTCCCCTCCACGCTCGCAGCTTGGGGGAGGGGCCTCAGCGCGGTGTCCTGCTGTGCTGCCTGCAGATTCCCCCTGGAGCCGCTGAGTAAATTCCCTCGTCTGCGGGACCAGCCGGCGGGCTCTTTGAGTACGATGGGGAGGAGCTACCGGTCAGAGTCCCCAGGAAGGAGCAGGTTGGCCGCCTCTCAGACGGAGGAGGGGCTGCAGGTCCCGGAGGCCCGAGGGGGTCCTGGGAGCGCGGGACGAAAGCAGGCCTGTCCACGCCGGTGCTTGGGGACGGGGGGCTGGGGGGGGTGCTGGCGCTGCGTGGCTCCCTGTCACGGGCTGGGCCGCTGTCTCCGAGTACCCTCTCTCTGCGCCAGACCCAGCGCGGCACCTCCTCCCCTTTCACGATCGAGAAGTTCCTTGTACTGGGAACCGGCTGAGGCTGAACGGGGCTGGTTGGCGAGCGAGCGAGGATAGGGGAAAGAACGTCGCCGAAACCAGGCAAATCCAGCAACTTTAAGAAACACACCACGTCTGGCAGAGATCACAGGCCTTTGGGACTCGTGCTCAGTGAGGCTTTTGTTCTCAGAGCTGTGGCTGTGACTTAGCTATCGCAGAAGAAAAAAAAACAACCTAGAAAGGAGGTAAAATGACGTGAAGACGCTCCCAGCTGCCTCACTAGATTGGGGGATGGGCGGGGGGCCGTGAACTCTGAACTTTGTTCCATCGTGTTCAGCCCCGGCCGGCCAGGCTGGGTCTTCGGCAGCTGCTCCATTTAGCAAATTGTGTGAGCTCAGGGGAGCCTAAGCAGAAAAAAAACCTCTCTAAAATTAGTTTTTAATGAACCGTAGGTAGAAAGAAACTCTCTAAAATCAGTTTTTAATGAACTGTAGGTAGAAAGAAACTTTCTCAAATCAATTTTTAACAAGCTGGCCAAGCCAATTTCAACAGAGGGGACTTTCAAGGGGGGAAAAAGCACCCTTGGAGAAACCTACAGTTGCACTGCAGGCGTTTCAGGAGCGACAACTATTCTCGGACCTCCACCGGCGTGCGTGGGCTCACACACAGCTCCGGGGCTGAGGGATGGCGCCAGATGGCCGCGTGGGAAGGTCCCGCACTCGCCGCCTCCCCCGGACACGCGGAGCCTGCAGCGGCCTGTGGGGAGACTCCCTGGGAAGGAGCTGGCGAAGGAGCCCAGCAGCTCCCCCGGCCACAGGGGAGGCCAAGGGCCCCGTCGGGGCCGAGAGGAGGGAGGCCTAGAAGCAGCGTCTGGCAAACCCCACTCCTGGCGAGACGCCCCCAGGCGGGAGGAAGCTCCCCAACACGAAGCTGCTGCCCCCTGAGGGCGAGGGGCCTGTGCCCCACATGAGGCTCCCAAACCCGGGGACCTACGCTGGGCGGTGAGCCCCCGGCACTTGGCTTTGAGCGTCAGCAGGGCCGGGGGAGAGCCACAGGGACGCAGGGAACAGGGACCCGCTGGCGGGGACCCAGCCCGAGAGCAGCGAGCGGGCCGGCAGGGGCGCAGGCTGCAGGAGAAGGAGACTCGTTTGCTCCGCTTGCAGCGTCTGCGGGCGGGGGCGGGGGCGGGGCTGCCGGAGCTCGCCCAGCGCCGTGTACCTGCGCGGCCCCCTCGAAGGGCGTGCGCCGCCCTCCCACGCCGGTCCTCGCCTGCACCGCGAGGGAAACACAGCACCCCGCGATCTGCGGGGGGCTGCCGGAGCAGCTCGAACAGGGCCGCGTGCAGGGGCCTGCGCCCCCCTGGGGAAAAGAGAAGACCGTCAGACAAACAGGTTGCCTTGACACCCGAGGGAACGAGGACAAGAACGAAGCCCAGGATCAGCGGAGGGAAATGACAGAGAGTCAAGCTCAAAGACCGGAAACCCAGACAAGAGGACAGCAGGAAGGGTCACTGGAGCTGGGGGCTGGCGCTCTGCGAATGGGGACAAAATCGGCAAGACTTCAGCTAGACTGAGGAAAAAGGGACCCAGATAAGTAAAATCAGGAATGGAAGAGGAAGAGTTACGACTGATACCAAAGAAACTCAAAGGATTATAAAGGACTAGTACGAGCAATTACATGTCAACACACTGGACCACCTAGAAGAGATGGGTAAGTTCCTAAAAACATAGTGTTCCAAGACCGAGTCACGATGAAATAAAAAACATGAGCAGACTGGTTGCTCGTAAGGACGTCGAATCAGGAATCAAAAGGCTCCCAACAGACCAAAGTCCAGGACCAGACGGAGTCACGGGTGAATTCTACCAAACTTTCAGAGATTTAATGCTTATCCTTCTCAAATCTCCCCCAAGATTGAAAAGAAGGGAATACGTC